TATTATCTCTGACGTTGACGTACCTATCGTAACCAGTGTATAGCGTATCCCAATCTTGCGGAACATATCCACTACGATTTCCATTGGCGTGCTACCAGCTACTTGAATGGGACCTGTATCCAGGCACGAGCGGAAGTCTACAAACGAGTGCGTTGTGGGTACTCCGGGTGTAGCCTTAAACATGACCCGCATGTGGCTATCAATGCCCTGTAATGCATATATGCTTATATGTTTATATGATATTTGTACGTATCTTAAAGGTATACAAGGGCTGTCGACTATGATTGGATTGTATACGAGAACGAAAGTAGAGATGGAATGTACCAAAATAGTGGCAGCTATATGGTCAGATATGTAAGTGTGTCTGCGCAAATTCACCGAGTGTATATTAACATACATATATTTAAAACTTTGAATTATATCGTACTCCAAATCTTAAACGGATATGCAAGCACTCTTTCCACTATTCTACCCGCGTATTATACTTTGCGCCAGATCCAGATGTGCTTCAAGCATATTCCCAGTCACACATAAGCCTGTCCTGTATCTGCACTAAATGTAGACGTACTTCCCCTTAAGTCTACCCATATACCGTATTCTGGGTCAGATTCTCAGCCCCTTTGGATTGCAACATATCATATCAGCATGAGCCTCTCACTCCACTGAATCAGTGGAAACTCGGCAAAGACACACTCATACATCTGTGGAAGATCTAGATTTATTCTATTCAACATTCCACCCACATACCTTACTCTTCCACGCACATACCTTACTCTTCCACTCACATACCTTACTCTGCGCCAGGTCCAGAGCCCTCCTCAACTCGCGCCGAGCAATATAACCCATCACCACACGCCTCTCATTGGACTGTATCAGCGGAAACCCGGCAAACGAGGTCTTCTCCAGTAAATCGTCGAGGGATTCTATGGTGTTGTTGTGTGATGTGATCACACTGAGTGCCTCTCCCCCGGGCTGTGGCTGCATGCACTGTTGAGCTGTATAGTCATGCTTGTAGTCGGCCTTGCCATCGAGAAACGGGTAGTTGCGTAGGCGGATATGCTGATCGTATATACCATCAATTCCCCCTGTACGTCCGTATTTATTTTTAAACGTATAAGATAAAAGGCATACATGCGAATGAGATAAACACGTACTTACGAGTGATATGAAGAGTGAGCGATCTAATTGTTTGTAATGGCAACTTAACCTAATCCCATCTAGTTTCGATTATATGCACTGTTGTGTCGCGTGCTTGGGGTTATAATCGGCTCTGGCATCAAAGAAGGTGTGGGTTCAAATCCAGGACACCGTAAAAATACTGAAGTGTCATATGATGAAGTGATGACCCTCGACTAGGTCGGGAGAGTGTAAAAACGAAAGAGGTGAATAATCGGGAACTTACGCAAGGGTGCGTGTGTTTCCAATTCCCCTTGTAGGTATACGATTTAAAAGGTTGCAGCAACTGCACATCCTTAAAGAGTCTAACGAAGTATACGAGACACAACTGTTTGTGATGGCAATGAAGGCAAGCCCTCCTGGTAGTGGTCGTATGCACTGGTAATCGTCGTATGCACTGCCGCGTGTAAAGGCGTTTATAGTCAATTTCGCCGCTGAGAATGCAATACCTGCATGCTAGGTCAAGCACACCTAGTAGGTACACTCTGCACGTTAAGAGTGAGACACGGCAATTATATGGGTCTGAGCAATGCCACACTCCAAGTACGCGTAGAGATGATGACCGAAAGAATACACTCAGGGCTGTAGCCACCCAGAAAAACTACACCCCCATTGAATCCAAAGCCACACTCAAACAATCCAAAGCTCAGTACAAAGCAAACCTACCTCATTACAGATCAAACCTACCAAATAAATACACAGTTCACATTCAGGTTATCCCCCATAGATTACGGATATTATTATAGAGCGCACACGCATGGTCAGCTCGGACATGGCGAGCTCGAAGGATACAGTCATAGGTGTGATCTCGCAATACCTATAGACTCAACTCCACGCCCGACCCAATTTCAAACTCAAAATCCATACCCAATTCAATTCCAAACTCCAAAAAATAAAATAGTTCTGTACCTAATAAGTCCGCCGTCCACTTTGAAGTCAGACACGACAGCATAATGGGTATGATAAAGTCCACACTCCCGGTAAGCTCGAACATGATGACAACTAAGGATACGGTCATGCGTGTGACCCCACCTAGCACCGCCGCAGCGCCCACCACTGCGTAGATGCCTGGGGTAATACACTGTGTTTCTCCATGGCACACATCCAGAAAGAACGAGCTGGTTGCTGTACGATTTTGAACCATCTGTATGAAGGGATGGAGGAGAGAACAGAGAGGTACAGGGGGGTTTAATGGGTATACTTGAGGATAAACTGGGTTTAAAAGTTTGTCATGGACTGTGCTTCTCCCAAGCTTAAGCCTAGTAAGATAAGCGCAGATTGCTGCACAATTTTTGGCCCTTTGTGTTAGAGAATAGAGATTAATAAACCGCGAAACCCCGCCGTCGTATATTCGCGTTGGCCAGCCCCTGACTTTAGATCCCTATGGTATGCCAAAGGTAAACAGATTCTCACGCAGTGTGTATATAAATACATCCATGTAGTCTTATTGTACATAATATCGCATATAGACACACAAAGACGAGTTTTATACCCCGTATTTTCATACATGCATCGATTCAACCTAGATGATCTAACGACTTTCTCCCGCGTTCGTCCGGTAGTCGCACCGGCCGCTATGAAAAGTATAAAGGTATACGTCGAGGGCCATACAGAAAACGTATCAGATGTATGAATGACAGTGGTCTCATGCACAGATGATATGCAAATGCGGATGTAAACGTAGACACGGGCCACACCAGAGTCGGCAACAGCCTTTGACTATACATACACAGTAATCACAAACCTGGTTCACCACGATTCCCAGCACACGCCCGATAGTCGCACCAGCCGCCATAGAGGGTATGAAGATACCTGCAGGCACAGGCATGCCAAAGGTGAACACAGTCACACACAGTGTGAATGCACTGGCAGCCATGAGCACAAAGCATGTATGCATGAAATGCCCCGAGGCTTCGAGCGTACACAAATATGAAGTGGTGTCTGTGAGTGGCCCGGATCCGCACTCGGCGAATAGGGTGTGGATGAGTTCTGACGTGGTCATGCGAAGAACCGCGCTAGGGTACCGGAATAGCAGCGTTATCAGAGCTACCACGCAAACCTAGAAGGACAAGAAACAAATGAAAAGTCTCACTCAGTAAATGACGGGACTATACTGACTATATGCGGTTGTGTGGGTTTGCAAGATGGGTAATTGCAGGATAACAGTAAAATACTGGAATAGCAAGTGACATCAAGGGTTAACACTCAAACCTTGAAGGATAAGATACAAGAGAAGAGTCTTCCTTAGTAATTGGCGGGCCCATATCGGGTATGTGTTTCGACTATGTGGATTGAGAAT